TTGACTCAACTGTTGTTGTGATTTGGTGCAATATAAATAAAATTCAACTGACCTGAATAGATTGTCATGGTTGTCTGCAATTTGCATGGATGATGTGAACAAATCATAGTGAAACTTGCAAAAGTTATGCTTAACCTCTGCAGCCAACATTATGTTTCCAAAATGCTCAACTTTGACTATAAATTCACATAGCTGTTGTTTGCATTGCACTTTCCACAGTTTTACTACCATTGGGCAAGTAGCTGGTGAGTCCACATCGTGGATCATGTAAACTACAACTACCACTGTAATCTGCTAGCAACCAACGCAACTACAAGGTTTTCAGTGCAACACCATAAAGCTCTTTGCAACCAGTTTTCCCTAGCAAATGCAAGAACTCTTGAGCAACCACTCTCAACTGGTTGGGGAATACACATTTTTTCTTAGTGATCTGTGGTTGCCAGGGAATTGCCAGCCAGTCTTTAGCCTCGTGTAACCGGAGCTTTAGCAAAGCTCCAATCTCTAAACAAAATGTTCCCGTTAATCTTGAATCAGGTGTTGAGGATCTTTTTTTTTCCATCCACATTTATATGCCATCATAAGGAAAATAAATGCACAGCAGTCAGAGCTGGCTCGCAACCTGGCGACAAAATCAGTGCATTTGTAAACACTCTTTGGGTACCTCAGTCAAGATTTCATCATCGCTTGTTTCAGATTTTCAATTCTTTTGTTATTGCAAAAATTTGAATTTTTATTTTTTAAGAAATTTTAAAAAAATTCCTTAAATCGCACAAAATAAATGACTAACGTTGGCTCTAATACAAGTGATGCTTGGTGCAAGCAGAGACGACAGTTTGAGTTACACTTCAGATGTTGCCAACCAAAACCACAAACAGTACAGAGCACCACTGATCGAAACAAAAACTTGGCACCTGGCTACTGTAACCGGACGAATACGACCGCACTGAAAAGTCAAAACAAGTTCATCATCATGATCATCGTGTCTCACTGGCAAATCTTCACCCCACAGAAAATGATGGCTGATGGCTATTTACACACATCTCTGCGAAAAAATACAATTAAAAATGTAATGTCATGAGACATGGAGAATTAATGTCATATCCCTTTCATGATTTCTGATTCCTCCCTCTAACCCTCAAAAATGCCCCCCACAGATATAAACATAATATTGAAAAATAATAATAAAAAAACTGATTTCTGAACTTTTGACCTCACTACATTTTCAATGTGACACATTTTTTCAACACACACTGAATTTTACTTTTTCATCTTTTAACAAAAGAAAAAAACCAATACAACATATTTCTAAAACACAAAATAACAACAGTCTACATGTAAAAATATAACTTTTACATACACAATTTCAAAATAATGGTAAAGTTTGCCATTTTGTTGCATACAATTTACAAATGTCTGTGTGTTGTTGTTGCCTTGGATAGATAGCAGTGAATGGAGCTGATGGAACTCCGGTCCCATTTTGTCCTGCGCAGGGTGCCGTACTAGTCAGAGGGTGGCAACAACGGAGAATACAACGAAGTCAGTTGAAAATTTATAACACTGAGGGGCCTCGCCAACTTCCGCCAGTTCAGTCTTTGAGAAAAGAACTCCTTGCCAAGCAAACACTCCCTTTGCAACGGAAAATTAAAAAAATAACAGAAAACGGCACCCTCGTTATATATTGTATATATTTTTTGTACATTTATATATAGATTGATTTATTCAAATAGATTCTTTTCCAGTTTCCGTGCCTTCCTGTTGATTGGGTAGAATTTTAACCACGTCAAAATGACCACCGACAGTTAACAATGCTGCCAGATAGCGAATTGTGTTTTTTTGTGTTTGTCTTTTTTTTGTTGTTTTTTACATTTTCTGTAATAGACATGTAAACCAGAACAGACAAAAAAAAGTAATAAGAGAAAAGATTCTTCTTATAAAAGAGAGCAAGAGAGAGAAAGAGAGAGGGAGGGGGAGGGGGAACAAAAAAGAAAATTAGTTTAACAACATACAACCACACACTTTGTACTGAAGACTACATTGGCTCATGGACAAGCCGATCAAATATTGATAAAAAGCTGATAAGCTATAATACAAGAAGAGACGCGTTGTTCACCATGGAAACAGGGTTGGGGCTCGGAACAGGAAAGTGGGGCTGGAGTTATAGAGGACTTTGGGGGATGGGGAGGACTGGGATGGGGGGTAGTCTTGCTAAATCAAGCATCTGTCCCATTGGCTTGAAGCCAGAACACGCTGTCTACTTACATATAAGCGTACAGTACATTAAATACAGTTTAGGTTTTTTTTTTTTATCCAAAAAAATACTTTTTTTTTTCCTTTTTAGCTTTTTTTAAATTCCCAGGTCTGGTAAAAAACCTGACTGCATAGAACCTAACGACTAAGAACAGGTTTCCCTAAGCTTGCATCCTATTAAAAGACCAGGTAAATGTCCTCCTCTGGCAACTCGAATGATATGAACTCTAAAAAGGCACATTGGTAGAAGTGTGAATGTTCAAATTGCATCTGTGGGACCGCTTAAGTGGGGCAAGAGGCTGGGAAGAGGGGCTATAGACTCTAGTTCAGGGCTCATAAGGCTAGGGTCAGCAGAGCACTGGGACTGGGGATTAAACATAGGCCTGGACTTAGAGGGGTTCAAACCGTGGTTCAAACTGGTGTGAAGGGGGACTTCCAGACTTACACCACAATTCTTGCAGATATTCTCAGTAGCTTTGATTTATCTACTAATTCCAATTCTCACTTAGGTGGTCATAACCTTCGACATCAGGATTTTTCCTGTTCCTGTTCCTTTTCTCATCTACGACCATCAAATCAAGAAACATGGCATAGAACTGAACACACTTTGAGTACAGAGTAAAGTAACGTATTATTGGTTGGACTTTCAAACTGGAATTAGCAGCAATTAGCTGCACTTAACAGGTTCATAGCTGTTAAGTGCAGCTAATTGTAGCTAATGCTAAAGACAAAACCGGTAAAACCTGAAACCTTCCTCATTCTGGTAGTTGCAGATATAAGCCAGAGTCGGCCCATATTTGTTTCTCTGGTGCAGAAGCACCAACTGTGCTGTGACAGAGTTGTTGTGTTGGAACATGACCAGGTGCTAAAACTGCTACTTCGGTGTGCAGTTTTCCCCGGTCCAGTCAGGGAATCTGGGTGGTCATTGTTTCAAACAGGCCTCCTGATCTAATCTAAAAGCTATTCAAAATGCTGGCAGTCATCAATGTAACACCAAGTCTGGCAAAACAGCTCAATTTTTCATTGTCATCCCCTCCTCCCTCCCCCAACCCCATCCACACTGTTTAAAAGATAGCATCCACAACTGAAGCACTGTCAAATGCATGCCAAACCAACAGGCTACCCCTAAACACCAATTGGAAGCACTAACGTCACAAGCCACAAAACCTCTGCTTTCCCTATCCGCCACATCAGCACTGCAAATAGTTTCTTAACGTCTTTATCCTTATAGGAAAAGGTAAGTTGTGAAAACTACTTTTGCCTATGGACGAAAGGTCAAAATGCACACAAGGCCACAGAGTTGTTCCCAGCCAGCAAGTGTCAATTGGAAAGTCCCCCCTACTCAAGTTCTCTGAATTTGGAGGCTGGGTTAGATATTTAGGGCTAAGATCAATCAGGAAATGAGGGAATCAAATGACTCAAACACGGGAATGGTTTCACAACTGCTGCTTGCACCCTTGAAAAGAATTATACACCCCTTGCCCTGATGACTGTTCCCTTACTTCCCCTGCAGCGTCATTAGTCATTGAAACCAGTGGATTCTCTGCTTTTCCTTTTCTCTCCCTCTAGCTTTTAATCCCCTTCATACCAACTCTCAGAGTTCAGGCCTTCAGGGAATGTGCTAATCATGGAATAGAATTCACTCCAGTGATCAGGCCAGCTCTAAACCACTTCGTCAATTGAAAAATCTTTCCTGTCATCTGTCCGTCCCCTCAACCATCTGTTCAGCAATCCTTAGATTTCAGTAACAGTCTGGATTCCACTCTCAAACTTTGTCATTGGATAGCTGACAAAAGACTGATTCAGAATGTTTGCTCTACAGCTCTTTCTGTAAATTGAACTCACAACAACAATCTAAAACGAGGATGCCATGAAAGCCTTTCCTTCCTGCCACATTTAACAGTACAGTTTTCCTATTTCTGCATCATTTTGCTTTTCTGTCTATCCATTGTAATTCGTCAATATTCCCCAGTCCCTCTGGAGTCACTCGCTGATTGACTGATTCAGTGATTGATTCCCTTAAGAACTCTCTTCCTCCCAGTAGATACACACGGGTCATTTGGGTATAAATATCCTGGCTTTTGGATTTGTGTTCACACAATAACTTTACACGAGTTTACAGTCTCCAAAAACTCAATGTGTGCACCAGCAAGGAGCACTAATGTTCAGGTTCTTTTACACTGACAATGCAAATGTTTGCACTTTGTAAGGGAATGCATTAGAAAGGGAAGAAGTCGTAACTTCTTGTTGGCCCTGCTTCTTTCTAGATGCCTCTGATAGTCAAGCATTGGCAAAAGTTTTCATTCAAATCAGTCAGCAATTCAAGCACCTCTGAAAAGCTGCATGATTGCAACACATTTGGTGCCCTAATGTTTTCTTCATTTTGATTTATAGTTGGAAATTTGCTTACTGTTTGTGTCTGAGTATGCAGCCTGTGTTCATTTCTTAGTTTTGTTTCCTTTGTTTCTCCGTGTGTATCTATCTGACTGGTTTGCATCCAAGAGGAGATCAGGCACAGCTTCATCCACAGTGTGGCGTTAGATTGCCATTCAGTCAGAGATGCGCTGGAGCTGCATTCAACAACAGCTGCGCAATGTTGCTTTTGTTACAAAAAATCTCTTTAAACACTTTGTGATATGTTTTGTGTCATTCTGAACATCCCTCCCCAACCCCTTCCCTCCTCACTGCCCGCGTGCAGTATAAATTTTTTATTATTTTTTCCTTTTCTCATATATATATATATATATATAATTATATATATATATACTATATATATTTATATAGAACCCTTTTGTTCTTTAAAACTGGGAATGCTGATAAAACATGTAGCACAAGAAGAAGTTTCTTCGATGGTGTGATTCCAAAGACTTGTCCATTGCTGTCACTTTGTGTCAAAAGCTGCCGCTTCATAGCAGCCATGTCACAGCGGCATTTTTTAGGTCTCCGCAAAGAAGCATTCAGTTCACTTCAGCTGGAGATGCAAAGTGACGAAAGCAACTAACGTGACTCTGCAGTTTGTGTTCTTGATAGAAGAAGGAGACGATGACAAAGAGGAGGGTCAGAGACGACAGACGAGAGGAGAGAAAAAGGCTGATCTGATTGGTCAGGTTAGGGTTCCAGAGAAACTGATTGGTCAGGCTGAAGCAACAACAGTTTTGATTGATTGCCAGGTTGTCATGGAAATGCCTTCAGAGGAAGTGGTCACTCATCATCTTGATGAACTCTGGCACCTTGGACCTGGAGAGACAATGAAGGAAAAAACAGACAAATAAGCCGATACTGATATCGGAAAGACCAGAGAATACTACTTTTAGTAAAAGTACATATTTTGATGATTATGACTAATATGATTCATTCTGAACCACCTAGAAATTTTTATTCCCAGGATGTCAAATATTGCAGTTTTGTCAAAGCTGCTGCAACCTTAAAGCTATGAATCAGGTGCAAGTACCGTGATTCAACAAACTGATGGTACTAGTGAGACTGGGATGACTTCCAACACATACTGTGTGTTATTAAATGGTAAATGACTTGTATTTGTATAGCGCTTAACTTAATCCCTAAGGACCCCAAAGCGCTTTACACTACATTCAGTCATCCACACATTCACACACTGGTGATGCCAAGCTACATTGTAGCCACAGCTGCCCCGGGGCACTTCTGACAGAGGCAAGGCTGCCGGACACTGGCGCCACCGGGCCCTCTGACCACCACCAGTAGGCAACGTGTGAAGTGCCTTGCCCAAGGACACAACGACTGAGACTGTCCGAGCCAGGGCTCAAACCGGCAACCTTCATTAAAAGACGAACTGCCAACTCTTGAGCCACGATAGCCACGTGGCATTAAGCCCAATGGCAAAGTGCAGTCTTTCAGTGCGAAGGGTTAATGCTCTCAAAGTTGAATTTTTATTAACCTAACCAGGTAATTTTGGTATCTACTAAGAAGTAAGCGAAAGTAAAAAGCAGTTCAAACGGAAATGAATGTGCATAAAATGTGAACTTTATCCTCCTGACTGAGAAATGTATCCACCTCCTATCAAACCTACTGCAGACCTCTCAGATCACTCTTTTAAAGGCAACTGCCGCTTCAAGGCACAGGTGCTAATGGAAACAATGTGCATAATCTTGCAGTGGTAGCAATATTGGAGAGAACAGCAGTATTTGATTCTGTGGGAAAAGCTTTTTGCCAGATAGCTTTTGTGCATTTTTCCCTGAGCCTATCTGAAGCTGAATGACAATAGCAAGTCCAATGTCCAAGGCTCTTAGTTATTGCCGAGCAGCAACAAATGTTTGAAAACTTACAGATGTCCCTCAAAGAGGGGAATTTTTATAGAATTCATACACTGACTTCTGGATGTCAGAGTTTAATTAATAGAAACAAGTTTCCAGTTCATAAATACGTTATTATACATTTTCTTTACATAGTTTATTGGAAGGTTTACTGGGAATAAACAGAGGCCAAAGGAGCTCAACTCATAGTTAATGATCAGAAATGTAAAACAAGGAGGAAGTCAGAGTTTAATATATTCATGCAAGTATTCTTAGCCTACTATATTCAATGATAGATACTATACACTGACAATAATACACATAAATGTTTTGGTGCATCTGGTTCATCCCACTTAAAGTTACCAGAGTCATGATTGTGCTAAGAAGGTGAAGTGTATAAATAATTCAGTGAAGGTGTTATTTTATTTTCTTCACTGCAAATTCTTTGTAGAGAAACTGTGGTTTTGTCTTAGGTGACGCCTCCTCCTCATCAAACACCTTTACTACTTCAAGGCTACAGAACTTCAGTAAAGAAGCTCACTTACACATTAAAACATGCAAACACAAAAGCAATGTGACTGTACGACACAAGTCCAATTCAAAAACAGTGACAAACACACAATCACACATTAAAAATCGCACTTACTGCCAATCTGTTGTTAATGTGTACCCAGACCAGACAGAAACTCTCTCATGTGCTTGGCTTCTGTTTTTAGTCAGCCTAAATATGCTCTGTTCTTCAAATTCAGTCAAATAATGGGAGATTTGATTCACATGCTGTCTGTGTAAGTTGTAACCTTTTAAACAACAATTCTGCTTTTTGCCATCTGAAAATTAATAATATAAAAACCAAAATATAAAAAATATGTGAGTGCAGTTCAGGAACCAATTTATTTCAATCTCAGCCTCATTGTTTTGTTTTTAAATTCAAGCTCATAAAATCGAGTGATTAAATCGATGATTCAGTGTGGACATATTAGATTTTACAGCTTTTATTCTGGGAAAGCAGCAGATCCCATTAAAACTAATGTTATATTTCTAGTTGTGGTGTTTCTCATGTTGTATTGTAATGCTTGAAATAGTTAAAAAGTACACAGACAGCACATGAAGGAATGGCAGGCATGTGATGAACAAATTATAACTTGCCATGCGTGGAGACAGCCCTAAAAACAGAAACTTCCAATTTATTAACTAAAAGCCAAAACACAAAAATTGACTTCACACTACTTTATCGTCACTGCATGCATGTTTTTTCTGCTTGTGATTTGTGATGAGATTCTTTCAATTATATTTTTTGCACTGTTTTTTTGAATGACTGATTTTCTGGTTTGAGTTAAAGGTACAACAGCAGATTAGTTTATAAGTGAAATCTTCTGACCATTCAGGGGGGAGGAGATGTTGCTGCGTTTTACATTTGTCCCATGGGGTTCGGCCCATCACCCATGGCGGCGGCGGAGTGGTGCGCTGCGGCCAGTGAGAGGGGAGTCCCGTCTGATGTCACGGTGACCTTCTCCTCCTCGCGGCGCTTCAGACAGGCCGCCTTTGGGTTCAGGTTTCGCTCTGGACAGAAGGAGACAGAGAATGGTTTTCAGGTGTTTTCTCTTATGTCCGTTACTCAGTGAGGTTTCTCCTTCAGCTGGATTCATCGATCCCCAGACTGATGGCAAGAACCCAAAACTATGGTCTAGAAGAACACAATCAACAGGTGCTACTACTGCCCTCTCCTGGAGACCCTGGGACACTACATTTATATGTGTTATCACCTAAACCTGCAAGGTTTAAAGTCAGAATCAAATCGTGCTTTTATCTGACGGAAACATCTGGATATCTCAGGGATTTTCTTTTAGAAACCTTATATTTGTAACTGGGATATGGTTGAAGCCTAATTCAATCATGGTAAACTGCTTAAAACATATTTCTTTTGCCTTTTTTTTTTAAACCAAGAAGTAACACAGTTCTCAGACACAGGCATTTTCAAGCATGTTTTCAGTTGTTTCTTTCCAAAAAGGCCTCTAGTTAGTTAGTATTTTTTTATGCTATTTGTTGTGAATAAGACATATATATGAAAGCAGTTATATCTTTTAAGAAGAGGGTTCAAGGTCACTGACAGTTTTATTTGTTTATTTTCAGGTTGTGTGACAGGAATAAATGAAAACTTCTTATCTGCTTTATACAAATTAAATTACAGTCAATGAGACCATAAACTCATCAGGAAAGTCATTACTGAGATCACAGAGCAAGCGAGCTAAAGGCAGGTTTTCTAATACACTTTAACACAGGTTTAAATGACATTGGCTTCACTTTTCAGATCTGGAAGTTATATCCATATTTTATTACCACTCTATTTCCTAAAATACATACAAGGCAAATGTACGTGCTGTAATGCAGTGCTTCACTTGAAACCAACCTCGGACTTGTTGTTCCAGACTGAGGATGACAGCCACGGCCTGGTGCAGGATCAGCAACTTTGTCTGAGGTTTGTCGCTCTTCAGGTGCAGCTGGACCATCCTGCCCAGCTCTTTGAACGCCTCGTTGATGTCGCGGACACGAAGACGCTCCCGTGCGTTGTTGGCCATCCTTCGCTCCCTCTCTCTCTCCATCTTCTGCTCTGGAGTCAGGTCCTCATCGTCATTGTTGCTACAGAGACCAACGATGAAGACAAGGACGAGAAATGGAAGAAGAAGCAGGGGATGAAGGTGGGAGAAGAGGAGAGCGAGAAGGAGGATTTGAAGATGAAGGTGGTGTTTGCATACCTGTCTCGTTTTAATACAAACCTACAGTGCTGCAGGTTTGCAGAAGCAAGGTTATAACAACAGCAGGGTTTGGGAACAGACACCATGCTGGGCTGCATTCTGGCAGTTTCAAGGGCTACTCTGTTTTTTATTTACTTTGTCACATATTCTCTACTTGATGTGGGGTCACATCAAGAAGCAGTTTGAAGATAATTCTTGAAATAAAGAAGACTAACGTGGAAAAAAACAGAAAAAAAAATTGCTGACATGGAACTCTGTTTACTTTGCTTGCCCTCTTAAATCCACTAGGTAAATCCACTGTGTACACAGTCGTACACAGTCATACACAGTACGATATGCAGTGAAATGCTTAGACATAAAAAGACATAAAAACATAAAAAGCTAATAATAGTGGCTCACTGCATCACAGTAATAATAGAAATCAATCTGATGCAGTGCTGGTGGGAGAGACTTTCTTCAGCAGCATGCACACAGACTGCTGTTTGCACAGCAGCACTAACTTGATTAACTCTCCCACTCAGCACTGGGATCATCTGGTCATGCTACTTCCATATCACTTTTGGTAACTCATCAGAAGGTATTTGTGTTTTAAAGCACACACTGTATACTACAGTATTGTAACACTGTTTGTTCAAAGTTGAAATATACAGCATCTCTTCAACAGAGTGACAACGAAGGCTCTTTTAGTCTTCAAGATGTTTTATGTATCTAAAATCAATCCAGAATAACTAGATACATAACATACAATGTATATATTATCAAAGCCTGGAATATTCCAGGCCTGGATATTTTCTAACTGGCTGTCACTAGCTAAGCTAGTTTATTTGGTGGTTAACAGTAAAACAAAACTGCCTTATTACTTGATCTCTGCAGTGGTTATGAGACTAACAAGTCTCCTAGCATCCTCGTGATTGTTTAAGCGTTCTTACCTTTGAAAAATATCTGTAAGTCAGGTTTGTTAGGCTAGAAACAACTCGCATCTTAAATACAAACTGAATAAAGTTTGAGTTTCCCTTCAGGGACTGAAAAAGCAGGCAACACTGTACATGGGGAGTGACTCTGATGTGTCACAGCACAACAACAGGTAGACATGGGAAAATCTGTGGCTTAAACAGACGGTCAAATTTGAGAGTGTTTGGTATATAATGAAAACATCCACAAGGTGCTAGTCTCAATGAGCTGAGGAGACAGACACAGAGGTGTGGTTAGTAGGGGTGTCTGATAATCTTCTGGGGTGCAATAACAGTCAAAATAATAACAACTTTTACCACAGATTTTTTTAACTCTTGTGATCATGCGATTTGTTGTGCATATGGTTGTCTGGATACAAAGCTGGTCACTTCAACTTAGGGCTAAAGGGCGTTTTCACAAATCTCTGCCTTCTGCTTTCTGTCACTTTGAACCCTTTCAGCACACTGGGTCACTCACTGCTGCTAATCATGTGCCATGCTGCATTCTGCTGACAACATGAGAGTGAGCGAGTTTATAAGAAGATAATAAGAAAGAGTGCTTAGTTTATGTCGAGAAAGACAATCAGATATATATATCGTTTTTTTTAAGTAGGCAATCCGTGCAATTCCTCTGCAAAGATGCACCGAATAATCGGACTGCACAACCCTGCTGGTAGAAATTCTATTTTTATGGTAGTTTGAGTTAGAAGTTATACAAATGTGTGCTTTCCTGCTGGATCACATGACAATATGTTCCCAAACCCTGTAAAAAGCATCAGTTAAAAAAAAACAAGTATTATGTTCCTCATCTTCATCTTCAAAAACCTTCAGTATCATCAACCTCATAATTATCAACATGACCGCCACCATCATGTACAAATTTCTGGGTTTAGGATCCAAATGTTTCCGATCGAGTTGTCCTCCAGGTGAATAGAAACCACAATAAACATCTTGTTTATCTTTGGAGGGCTGAAGGCTGCTCCACTGTATCCAGGACGGGAAAAAACAACAACACTTTCTATCGCTTCATATTTTGCTTGCTTAAGTGTTTACATCCATAATGAGTAGGTTTCACACCTTTAAAACATTAAGCTTTCTCGCCAACAGCAAGAATATCCATAAGTGTTTTCATTGCAGTTGATTTCCCGACCCTGACACAGCGAGACAACACTTCTTTGAGAATATTGACTGCTGGCTCTACTCTGGTGTGTGAGAAACAGTTAAAACCAGGCTCAAGACCATGGAGAGACTGACGGGATCAAACAGGAGCTGCATGTCCACCAGGAACCTCCGCTGCTCCCTCAACAGCGCCGTAACTTAACCAGCCGCTCAGTTAAAAAGGGAGATGCCAGATGAACACGGACTCAAAGTCTCGTTGTTTACTGAAATATTTAGCTGCTTCTCAACACACTTGGTCACTTCATCAAAGTCCAGAGGCTGGTTCCCAAAACACTCAAAGCTTTAAGTCCTTCTCTGTGGTCCTTTTCCAAAAAGTGACAAAAATACTTTAAATTAAGTAAATATTTAGGGGAAGTCAATTATTTAAGGTAAAAAGATATAATAAAACACAAATAAGAATTCTTCACATTGGTTTTTCATGTATCTAGCTAGTTTTTTCCACCTTGAAACCTGCTATTTGAGCATTTTATTACTTCTGCTTTATCCCATATTGGTCACATTGTGGTTTATAATTTCAGCATGCTCTATTTTTGTCTTGCTCTTTATCAATGACACAGGAACCAGAGAGGTCTCCGAGCGCTGAGGTGTTTTGGGAAAATGCGTGTCCCAGCCCAGCTGAGGGTTTTGATGGAAGCGAACACCTAAGAGGTTGGCGGGGTTACCTAGATCTTGACCTCTCAATAGATTTGAGCTCCTTGCTGTCGGGGTCCTCTTTCTTGGTGTCCAGGGGCTTTGAGTCCTGCAGGAGGTTCTCGTCTCCTTCGTCCTCAGACTTGATCTCCGAGCTGACGGAGGAGGTGCTCTGGCCCTGAAGGCCTCCGGACAGAGCTGCAGGAGAAGAAATGAGAAGATGGGAGGGGTTAAATGGTGCAAACAGGTAAACGCATATGAGCCCGGTACACAGGTATACAGCTGGCAGAATAAATAAATGACTGGTTGCCAGAAAGAGCCAGAATGTGCCAGTTTGTGAAGGGAATAGTAAACTTTGATATATGAAATTATAATTTTAGGGGTAATCTCTTGCATGGAATAGCATTTCTTTGCTTGACAAGATTTTATTCATTTATTTATTTACAGCTCATTTTACGATAATAATCTAAACCCACAGACGTTGATTCTTCCATCTTTTTTAAGTGTAAGTAAGTGTAAGGCTTGTTTTAATAACCAGCCATCTTCTTAACATGCTTAACGTTAACATAAACTCCAGGTGCCACCGCAGCACGGGACTAATATTTGCTGAAAACGAGCTGTTTCTATTACAAGCAAGAAAACACAGGGACCTATAAAATTAAATGTACTTACAGTCCTGTTTAAAGTCAATACTTTTACCAGATTTTGACATTCATGGTTTGTTTTCAGTTTTAAAAAGTATTGACATTCATGTGGAGATTAAAACTATCACGTTAAACGTGTGTAAAAAGTAAAAAACTGTTCTGATATCTGCTGCTTTTGTGATAAAAATGTTTAATTTTAAATAGAAGCATTGGCTGTAAATTTGAAGTGTAATGGTTACATGCCGTGTAACCATTATACAGCATTTACATGATATTTTGCAGAGCACTGTAACAAGAGCTGGATGGGTATTATAGTAGAGGTGGAGATATGAGAAAGTGCACACTATATGTAACAGTTTGATGAACCTGGTATAATGTCTGATATGTTGATTAAAAAAACGAAACTGACACTTTGTGTCTATATTTGGTTTCACTTGTTGGGTTAAAAACAGCTCATTTAGGTTAACATTTCAGATGGTGTTCCTCGTCTTCACGGGCTTCTGACATGAATGCAGCATCAGTCCTGGTTGAACCCTATTAATTCTCTAGTCAACCTCCAAGATGGCGCCACTGGAGAGTCGTGGTGCAGTCGTACAGCCTCTCTACCCTCTGACTGTCTCTCTCCTCAGCTGAACAGTGCAGTCTTTATTTGACGTCTGTATGGATCCGTCACTGGGACGCTGCCAGCATCTCAGTCAACACAAAACACTCGAGCACTGTGTTCCCCTCACCCTGTACACACACACACACACACGCCAGCCAACTGTCGGCCATTTTGAATCCCCGTCTGCCTGACTGGAGGCATTTTGTGAGCAGCTTTGAGTGACGTCCCGTGTTTGGTTGGTGTGTTTGTGTGTGTGTCTCTTTACATACAATCAACTGTGTGTTTGTGCATAAATAGCTGCAGCGAAATAGACGTTAAACTGTGAAAAGTGACTTTGTGCTTCTGAATGGCTGATTGATAACACGCAGTCACAAAGTGACGCCGGCGGAGACAAACGCGAAATTCGAGGACGCACCTCCATGTTAATTAAAGCTTCTTCTCAGGGCTGTTTCTTTTTCTTACTCACATCCTTCCCTCGTGTTCTAGCTTCCTTTACCGCTCGGCGTTCTCAAAAGCTGTGAGCAGAGGTTAAGTCTGACGTGTGTTAACACTGGAAAGCTGTGTGGTGTTAACAAAGTGCTACAGCACAATGCACCGCACAAACGAAATCTGAAACTGACTAAAGGTCCTCAAAGTGTCCTTTGTCCAGCAGGCTCTTATTCTGAACAATGTGCTGCTACATTAACAGAGTTTGTTTTTTTTGCCAAAGTTGTTATATACTTACAGCTATTTCCTAGTATTTAGTAGCAAACCCCAGTATATACTTCTTTTGTGTTCTCCTACTATTATCTATTTTAATTATTGCAGTTATTATTTCTGATACTGTGGTTTTTTTTTAAGTACTTATCAACAAATCTAGCAATGTTTTGGACAAATCAAAGCTACTTTCTATAGAACACAGTTGCCAGCCCTGCACCATAAGCTCTCAACAAGGTGCCGCTCTCCACTTCTACTCCAATTCATATCACTGTTTTTGAAACATTGGTTATTATTAATTCTTCATTTATTACTTTCTTTGGTCTTTGTTTTGGTAAAATCCAGCTAGAAAACTGTTCTAGTTTAGAATATTCTCTGGAAAAAGGGAAGATATAACAGTCTAAGGCTTCACTCTACACCTCTTTGGTCATGAATTTGTGGTTTTCCTGTTTAATTCAATTCTATGTTGTCAAAAAAATATTTCTGTTGTTACTTATTGTTACACATTTTTGAAAAAATAACTGAAATGAAATTACTATCATTATCAGTTAGACAGCAACAGAGAGGACCATTATCAGTGTGTTCTGGTGGTCTTAGGGCAGCTGACATAGATATAAATGATTGTGTGACAGGAAACAAACATTCGGTTACTTCCAACATTCTTTCTAATGAGTAATTTCACATAAATATATGTGATATTGCAGTACAGTATTTGTACACAACTTATGCTTGTGCTGTTTTTTGCTAGACAAAACTGCCTAATTTAATCAGGATTTTAGAAATGCAGAGCAGCAGCTCATGTTTGAAGTTTCTCTGCACTTAAGTTGTAACTGTTAATATGTAGTTTTTATGGGCTGTGCTTTAGTAAATGTTTCATACTCGTGTTTATTGACAATAGAAACTTTATTTGGCTGTAAAACTATATAGCAAATGTGAATATGAAACATTATGAACACAGGCTGTTGCATGTAAGCTTCAGAGAACCAGGCTACACTGTTCTGTTCGCATTTTGCAGGCCTATAGGTGCAACCTCATGGCATAAATAAATAATGGCTGTGATGCATGACATGTTTAAAACTCTGAATCACAACTGCAAAGACTGACATAAATCCTTATTTTCCAAATGTGTCCTTTTGGTTGAGTGGACCAGACTGTGGATGACTCTGCACCAAATGGATTATGTTTGTTTAAAAGCCGTGTTTAATTTGGGAGAACTGACTATTAAAATTATATTAATAATATAGAAATCCACGTATCAGCACATGTTATACACTGAAATAACATTACCCAGTTTGTTGAGCTAATACCAGAAATATTGCACAAGTATGAGCGCAATATACCATCAATATTGTATATAACATAACTATTAAAGTTAATAATTGTTTTGAAGTTGAGAAGAAGACAGAGGAGGAAGCCACAGGTCTGCCACTATAATTGTGCGCTTGCTGCCAAATCCATTTTAATAGCCTTTATTTACAGCCTCCACACACCCTCAGCCCTGTGTGTGTGTATGAGTTATGAACGGATGCAGAAGTAAGGAGTAATAGCTTCTTCTTCTTCTGCCAGAGTGTGTGTATGTGTGTTTTCTCCCTCTCACCTCATTACACACTTGGCTGTGGTCGGCGCTGGCTGAACTTTGCTGCCAGCAGAGTCATTTTCAGCCTTTAAAATTGAGCACAGGGCTAATTTGCTACACAGCGCACTCATATACACATTTCCGTCCTGCATATTCATATCACACACACGATGTATTTGTTTAGCCTGCTCGGGCGATGAAATTCTGAACCTGACCCAGGTAAAGTTTTCCCAGTTTTCTCTTCCTCCAGTTTATCTCCAGTTTCTTTTTCTGTATGTTTTCTGGTTGCACTTTTTTAGGTTGTCCTGTGTTGGGATTAACTTCCAGACCTCCTATTTTTTCTCTTCTGTTTGTTTACTTCTTCTTCTTTTTTGGACAATTTCTTCTCCTCCTCCTTCCTACTAATTATGATCTACTTGAGAGATGCTGCCTTTACTCTTTCTTGGATCGTTGTATTGTTTTAAATCATGTTTGTCCATTGTCTTTGCTTACTTTTTTTATTATCATCATACAGGCCCAGAAACACTCCTTTCTTGTGCTTGCACATGAACAAACCCTTGATGTGAGATTCCTCTGCCTACACGAAGCAGTGGCAGATGTTGGTACTGTTTGTCCATCACTGCTGCATCTTTGTTTCTTTATCTGGACATTGTTCTTATTTATGAAATGAAACATCTGGTAAAAAGAAAGACACAGCCGAGAATACCAGTACTTTCTTTCTTTCTTCTGCGTACGTTTGAATCGAAGCGATTTTTTTTCCATATAAACACTTGATGTTGAGAAATAGGTTTATGCTTCAGTGTGAGCCAGGGAACATTCATCTGGGGACACTGGCAGATGCAGCGTTTTTGTAATTTATCTATGAGTGTGCAGGGTCTCACCACGGTACGGGTCAGGCTGGCTGAGGTCCGGCGAGGTGGCTGACTGAACCGGCAGCTGAGGCACCGGCACCTGACCCCCCATCGAATGTCCTCCACGCAAACCGCCCACGCTGCTGCCGTCTTCTCTGTGAGAGCCCACCTGGAGAACAGAGAGGAAAGGCGTGAGGGAGAGTTTCAACGAACAGCTGCTCTGATTCTGTCTACAGTCAGGACTGCAAAACAAAGCATCTTCCAGTTTCTAAGTCCAGATGTAATCTGAGCATTGGTCTACTCTGATGTTCTCCAGGTTCTTTTGTAGAATGTCTTAACTTTTGTCATTTCTGTGGAGGTTTTCTTTACCAGCAGGGTTTTGATTTCATGAGCCTTCTGAATTTAAAGGAGTTTGATCTTGATTAAAAACAACGATATATATGTCTGTCACTTTAATTAATTAAATTTAAGTTATACACTGCCACTTTAAAAAACACTTGCCTTCAGCCACTTCACATTGAAAGGTAACGACTATAATATTAAAGAGAGACCGTCTTTCCTATGAGCAAGCACTTGGCAGCCGTGGAAAGGAAGAAGTCTCTTAACATGATGAGAACTCCTACTGAACCAGGATCAGCCATCTACCTCAACCAGTTGAGGGGTGAGGAGACAGAGAAAGGAGAAAAGAGCCCCACAGACAACAAAAAACCACTCTGTAGTTTTTAAACAGGTTAATCATACAAGGTTATATAGCATTTTTACTGGGGACTACTTCTAAAGGCGGATTAGCACACCCTGTTGAATTTGGCAGCAGGATGGCTTATGTTGAGTCCGTGTGTGTTCATTATAATAAGGAACATGTCACCAAGTGCAACATCTGCAACACTGATGTGTTTTCAATAGTTTTTGGACAACAATGGATTTCTGTGGTTTTGTTACACAGGCAATATCCTTTTAATCAGATCAGTTCGCTGATGGCTTTGGTTATTTTGCATGACTTTCTGACCATAAGAAAAATACTAAACATTACGACATATCACTTGAAAGTCAGTAAGCACTAGTCCACACACTAATTTCTTTATTTTAAGCTGAGTTTTTATCAGTTTCTAACAAGAGTTTTAAAAATCCTTTAGTATGGATATTTATATGAAGCAAATGTATGAATTTCATTTACCCTCTTAAAATCCTCCAGGTCATGGACAACCCACCGAGGTAATGGGATAAGATTTGGGAAAATACTTTTATTACTTTAATTTATTACTAATTAGAGTACTTACTTCATTTCTATTGTCTGTTTATATTAGGAATTTTATGGTATCATTTCACTTTTCATGAAACAAACACTGTAAATTGTAATGAACTCTTCCTTCCTTTCTTCCCTGAGATGTTGTAGTTCTGTCTTTGCCCTGTTGAGGGCAACCTCACCCTTCTAATACACTGAAGATCCCCATCGCTCCTATCTTTCCAATCTCACATGCATCATTCCCATCAGTGTTTTTTTTTTTATTATTAATTTTCCATTTTTCCAATTTTCCAGACTCCCTGTTTTCACAAGTGTGTGTGTTCGTGTGTGATTGTGTGTTTCAGTACAGGTTCATATCTCCATGTCTGACATGTATATTTACAGTTTCTTCTTTTTTTGGCTCCAAATTGTGTCTCCTTGTTTTTCATGTGGATTTCAGGGAAATACTGTATGGGTGCGTGTGTGTGTGTGTGTTCTTTGCTGAATCCTATCCATCTGTCTACCACACACACACATGTACATGCACACACACATGACAGCACAACAACTGACAATTATCTTAATGCCCATATGTTTAATTGTGGGATTTCTAATTCCCAGAGCACCAAGTAGCTTCCAGCAGGGACTCACTGTTTTGGCACGAGATGGATTTTTTTTTTTTAAAGTGTGCGTGTGTGTGCGGGCTTGTTTGTGTGTGATGCCAGATTTCTCATGGCATCCTGTGGTTCTGGTCTCTTTCTCACCCTCCCTTCCCTGAGCTTTGTTTTACTTTGAACATTTCAGCGGGGCAGTTGATAAATATGAATTATGATGATGGGTATGCTGTAAAACAGTCCGATATGAATGTCGGGTACAGACCTTACACACCAATCAAAGCTGAATGGCAGCTCAAACTTTGCATAGACACACTGTTATAATGAGCCTATTTCGTGCTGCTATTTTATTCGTTCCCCCAGCCTGACAAAGTGTTCGTGGTGTTTTGGGAGTGGATATGTTACCCTGACCAATCAGCAACCAGTGACGTATCCATTTGGCTGATGTCATCTGCAGTCTAGATGTATGTATTAGTGGTTCAGGGCCACCTTCTTATGTAAATTTATAAATTTAATATTGACTTGGCCTGATTCCATAATGAGGGGTTTAAATGAAGCAACCATTCTCACCTGGCTTGTTCTCATCCTTCATCCATTTTATTTGTATACTTTCGTTGCAGTTTAATAGTTTTAATGTTTCCTTAAATGCATGTGTTTTAATAGTCCTCTGTGCACAGGGCACCCATGCAAAGGTGGTAAACTTGATATCACTGGGCCATACTACATATATAAAGGTTGAATGAATGATATAAGAGTTTTTCTGGGGTGTTGCTAGCAGCAGCTAATGAAGCGTTGATTCGCTGGTCTCACGCTGAGATGAAGAGCAGGCTGCAGAAGTCTGGTGAGCAAATTTCTCAAACTTTTCCAAAGACACCGACTCAAAGTGAAGTCACTTTAGGCGATTTATCATGCCGCTTGCTCAGGGATTTACATGTTTTTTCACATATGCATTCCTCGCTAAGACCAGGAAATGGACTTTGATGTGTAAAATCCCCCCATACAAAACTCTGAGCTGCTGATAAGCTCAGCATCAGCTGGCCCCAGCAGGTTCCTTCTTGTGTCACTAAACTGCAGGTTATGTGATTCTTCAACTTCTGTAAGAACATATATGCACCGTGAAATCGGCGCTCCTAAAAGTCTTTATGATCAGTTGCTGCACCGTGTGCCTCAGTTGGTATTAGCGTAAAAAACACATGACACTCAAAATAAAAGCAGGACCAGGATTCCAACTTGGAAAGTAGAAAGCACATCCAGCTAGGAAATCCCGGATGCTGCATTGGTAAATAGACATCATGTTATGTGTTGCTTTTCTAGTCATCCATTCACATATACATGCATACAGAGCTTTAGAAATCACTCAAACACTGGCGGATGCATCGGTGCAATCTGGAGTTTATTGCCCTATGAAATTTGGACATGTACGCTAGTGCAAACATTTACTTAAGTCCAACAGAAGCTGTTTTCACAAATTTACTCTGTGACAATTTGAGGACAAGTCAGGACATTTTCCACATGCAGCACATGGCAGGGACTGCTTTAAACGGCATTGCACTCCTGGACGTGCTCCATGTGGTTTAGGTGAGGAAGGTGCCTGAGGTGCAGGAAGAAGGACATATGATCCCCACTTGCTAGAGAAAAATTTACCAGACAATTAACTTTGATTTTCGCGTATCAGCACAATCTGACGTCACATAGGCTTCTTACTGGGGAAAGACCAGTTAATATCTGCCGGGGATTATCTAGACAAATTATTTATTTTAGTGCATGTTTGAAGGCTACAGTTGGGGAAACAGTGTATATGGATTGTGCAGATGACAGAGCAACACAAATGTATTTTTATTGTTTTTCCCTTTTAAATAAGTACCCAATGACATCACACTTTTTCCTTCAGCTTCTAATACTTTTAAAGACGATGAGGTCTAGAGGTGGTGTTACACATTGCTGTCAGTTTCAGAAAATCAGCTTTTAACTAGATCAAATCTTAACGGTGAAGGTATGTTTTGACATATATTTTAAACGTCTTATATGCTGTGCTTCACTAGTTCAGTTTTTATGTATCCTAGGATAACCATAGTGTAAATAAGGTTGTTTTGAAAACCAAATCCCTCTGTCTGCCTGTTAATCCAGCTGGCTGACAGCGAGGTCTTGCCCACCACATGCCAAACTCCCCTCTCGCTCCGTGCAAATATCACAAAATGTCGACAGGCTTGTCAGCATGGGTGTGTGTTTCTGTGTGCGCATGTGTGTGTGTTTCAAACTGAGCGCCCTCCACCTATCCGTCCATACGTCTGCTTGCTCCCTTATTTATTGTTTGCCTCTCGTCTTTCTTTCTGTCTTTTCTTTTCCGTTCTCTGCCTTTCATCACCGCCTGGATTCCCAAATGTAAAATGGCAGCAGAGAGAGAGAAACGGAGAGGGTTTCGTACATTTTTAATGGAGGGCTTTTATATTTCAACAAGCCTTCCCTGTCTCTTCCTTAATTTAGTTCAACGAGGAGAGAAGATGAGGAGACAGATGGAGGAGAAAAATATAAATAAATTACACATAAACTGATCTGCTGCTGGTGTAAACCCGATAGATACCACAAGGTGCAGCCACACCCACTTAGGCACCATTCTTCAGGTTTAAATATAATATCAGCTTTTCAACAAACGGAGATGTCAGAATGTCCCTGAATGCAGCAGGGAGACTTTTAAAAACAGTCACGAATTCATTAACATGTCACAACAACTTCGTAACAGACAAAATTAATTTTCCAGTTTTCACATGATAATGCAACTTTGATTAAACATAAAAATAGAAAAATATACCTCTGTAGGTTTAATTCTGATTGACTATAACTAATAAAGAATGGCTGCCTTGAAGAAGAGAAGTCATTATAAATGTAATGAATATGATTTAAATCAGTGGTCCCCAACCCCCGGGCCTCGGACTGGTACCGGTCTGTGAGTCGTTTGGTACCGGGCCGCGAGTGTTGAGGCTCAGGTGTGAAATGTATGGTTTTCAGGGTTTTTATCGGTTTTCAGCTTTATTTTGTTATCGTTTTTATCGTTTACTCGGTTTTCCTGGGTCTTTTCACGTGTGTTATGAATAAATCTTCTTTTCTTCGGTACCGGTACTAGTTTTATTTTGTTGTATTTATCCGTGACACCTTAAAGGCCGGTCCATGAAAATATTGTTGAGCATAAACCGGTCCGTGGCGCAAAAAAGGTTGGAGACCGCTGATTTAAATAACCAACTTCCCCTCAGGGCCCAGTGACACAGGCCTAGAGACTGGTTGGCAACATTCTGTCAACCACACGTCACTAGGGAAAAATGTGGTCCTTAACCAGCT